TTCATGGAAACTAATGATAATGAGTACACAAGTTTCCATAATCTATGGGATACTGCAAAAGCAGTCATAAGAGAGAAGTTCATAGCAATTAGTGCACATAAGAAAAAGATGGAAAGGTGGCAAAAGGACAATCTAACATCATGCCTCAGGGAATTGTAACAAGAACAACAAAAAAATCTAAAAAATGCCAGGAGAAAAGAAATAATAAATATTCAAGCAGAAATAAATGAAAAAGAAAATAAGCAAACTATACTGAAAGTAAATGAAAGCAAAAGCCAGTTTTTTGAAAAGATAAACAAGATTGATGCACTATTAACCAGACTAATTAAGAAGAGAGAAAGGAACCAGATAAGTCAAATCTACAACAAATCCGGCAGCATTACAACATACATAACAGAAATTCAAAACATCCTTAGAGGATACTATGAGCAACTCTATGCCAACAAAGAAAAAACCTGGTTGAGATGGACAAATTCCTGGACACATATAATCTACCAAGATTGACTCAGGAGGACATAGAAAGCCTGAATAGACCTATAGCAAGCAATGAGATTAAATCAGTAATAAATAACCTCCCAACAAAGGAAAGTCCAGGCCCCATGGTTTAACTGCCGAATTATACAAAGTTTTTAAAGAAGAAATAACCCCCATTCTACTCACACTGTTTCTGGAGATCCAAAAGGAAGGAACCCTTCCAAATTCATTCTATGAAGTCTCCATTACCCTCATTCACAAAATGGATAAGGATATGATAAAAAAGGAAAGCTACAGACCTATATCCCTGATGAATACAGATCGATAAAAAAGGAAAGCTACAGACCTATATCCCCGATGAATACAGATGCAAAATTTCTCCAGAAGATACATGGGAACCATTTCAACAGCGTATAAAAAAAGATTATTCATCACAAACAGGTAGGATTTATTCCAGGGATATACAAAACCATAAATGTAATACACTATAGGGACCAGCAGTTAGCATAATGGCTATGTCGCTGAACTCCCACGTAGCCAACCGCGGTTCAAGTCCTGGACCCTGTGGCTTAAACTCATGCCAGACACCTGTGCGTCTATTCTCAAGATCCCAAGAGAAGAATGGAGGAGAAGGGATTGCTGTGTGGCCATCCCCCCTGGGGAGTGATTTCTCACTTTCTATCTCTTTCTGGCAAGCACATGTACCCTGTAGCAAAACCTCTTTAAAAAATGTAATACACTATATTAACAGAAAGAAAGATTAAAACCATATATATGATCATTTCAATCAATGCAGAAAAAGCATTCAACAAAATACAACATGACTTTGTGATCAAGACTCTCAGTAAAATTGGCATAGAAGGACCATTTCTCAGCATAATAAAAGCCATTTATGAAAAACGTACAGCTAACATTATACTAAAAGCTTTCAGCTTTTCCACTAAAGGCTGCCCACTTTCTCCACTCCTATTCAGTATAATACTGGAAGTTCTAGCCACTGTCTTTCCCAATAGGGTTAAAGAAGAGCTGAAATTATCTCTGTTTGTAGGTGACATGATTGTATACATAGAAGACCCAATGGTATCCATGAAAAAAACTTCAAAGCAATAAATGCATACAGTAAAGTGACAGGATACAAAATTAACTTTAAAAAAAATCTATAGCATTTCTACATACAAACAACAAGCAGAGACAGAACTGAAGAATGTAATTCCATTTACCATAGCCACAAGAAGTATAAGGTTCTTAGGAATAAAACTAACCAAGGAAATCAAAGACCTCTACAAGGGAAACTATGAAAACCTTAAAAAGGAAATTGAAAAGGACACTAAAAAGTAGAAGGACGTCCCATGGTTCTGGATTGGCAGAATCAATAAAATAAAAATGGCAATCCTACCCAAATTAATCTACATGTTTAATGTAATCCCTATAAAATTACAAGAGACATTCTTCACAGATCTAGAAAAGACAATCATAGAATTTGTCTGGAAACATAAAGCCATCCTGTACAAGAAAACTGGAGTAGGTGGCATCTCACTTTCTGACCCCAAATATAATATATATATTACAAAGCTGTAATAATCAAAACAGCATGGTATTGACACAGCAAAGGACACTGTAATAAGTGTGAATCGACCACCCTTGAAATGGGAGAGAATTTTTGTTAACTGTACCTCAGATGAGGGACTGATAACCAGAATACACAGGGAACTCAAGCAGCTTACCCAGAAGAAAACAATTAGCCCAATTAAAAGATGGGAAAATGAGCTGAATAAACAACTCTCTAAGGAAGACATACAAATAGCCAAAAAGTATATGAAATAGCCAAAAGGCATATGAAAAAATGCTCAACATCCCTCATCGTGAGGGAAATGCAGATCAAAACAACAATGAGATACCACCTAACCCCAGTCAGAATGTCTAGGATTAAAAAACCAAAAAATGATAAGTGTTGGCGAGGGTGTGGTGAAAGGGGAACTCTCTTACACTGTTTATGGTGATGTAATTTGATCCAGCCACTGTGGAGAACAATATGGAGGTTCCTCAAAGACCTTCAAATAGAAGTACTATATGATCAAGCAATTCCACTCCTGGGTATCTACCCAAAGGACAGGAGAGCACTCAGTCAGAAAAGCACTTGCACAACTATTTTTGTTACAGCATTATTCACGAATGCTAAGAAATGGAACCAACCCGAATGTGCACAGACAGATGAATGGATTGAAAAAGTGTGGCACATATATTCCATGGATTACTATTCAGTCATAAAAA